TAGTCCAATGAACGAAGGTCTAACATACGAATGTTTGCTAATCAGGCTACATTTTTGATACAATTTGGGCGTATGAAACTAATGGCGGATGTTTAAGGTTCCCCCAGTTTGTGCGGGGGTTGAAAAAGCCAACAAACTACCCCTAAAAACGGTTTATTTGAAATAACTCGTGAATGACGCGCCGTAGGTCCAAAAACGTGATATACAAAGTTGTAGAGCTCAAAATTCTACACAAAAAATGTTTAGGGCACTTTACCCCTATTCCCAACCGTTCATCCCCCACAGCCGCGTGAAGATCAGATGAGAAAAAAATGTTTTCCATTAAAAAAATTGAAGTTAATGAATTTTTTTTTTTTGTAATTCGGAATATCAGTGTTTTTTTTTTCAATAGCTTGTTTATTTATTCAGAGCGAATTTAATATATGTTGCTATTTATATCTTGATATTGAAACGATGAATTTCTTTTTTTTTCTTCCATATTTTTTATTAGAACATTTGCCACAAATTTTGTCTTGACCGTACCCGCGAATCTTCTATGGATTCAAAGTTAAACGCAATTGTCTAGCTCAAACCCCTAAATTCGGCGCCGGGAATGAGAACCTTTTGTGCGAGAGAGAAGTCTACGTCTCGCTCCCACTCCCTACAGCATTGTTGCGACCATTTGCGCATGCGCCCACGGGCCTGTGGAACATCACGGACTGAATGCGAGAAATAGTATATTTCGTCACTAGACGAAAATGATATGATTGCAGCCCTCGCCTTCGGCTCGGGCTGCAAACTCATATTCGCCAGTAAAGCTTTTTTCGGCCGTATGACGAACAGTATTTTTTGTTATGACGGCCGTAGGCAGAGATTCACGGATTCTCTCTCCCCCTCTCTCTGCCCCACTCACTCCCTCTCTCTCGCCCCCTCTCTCTCCCTCTCTCTCCCTCTCACTCTCCCCCTTAGTGATGCCGCAAGAGAGCGTGGACGGCGAGACAAGACGGGAGAAACTTCGCGAGAGACGAGACAAGAGAACGAGTCTCTTGTCTCGCCCGGCCGCGAGACAAGACGAGTGAGGCAAGGCGAGAGACGAGAGAACTGGCATGAGAGACGAGAAATCCGGATCATAATTTATTCAATTTATGACAAATTAATATCTAATATCTCTCAATAACTACTCAAATGTTGTTTGAGGCAAAAATTAATGCAAAAAAAAACGAAAAATAAGAATTTTTGAAAGCGAAAGTGACGATTTCCGCTCACTAGAATGGAAGCTGAATTAATTCATTGGAGGATTATGAACTGTCAATGATTAGCTCGTTCGTTGGAAATATCTGAAATAGTTGCCAAACGGTTCTTCCTTCTTTTGTTGTTATTATATTTAATTTAAGTAGACACGTATGAAAAAATTCAATAGAAAAACCTAGCGAATTCGCTAGAAAATTCCTTAGGATTTCTATAGAATTTTATATAAGTTTCTGGCCGTTTCAATTGACACGTTCAATAACAAATATTCTATAGAAGAAGTCAATGGAGTTTGATTTTTCTATACAACTTATTCTATTGAAATATTTTCTATATAGATTTTTCTAAGCTCAAATTTTCTGAGTTTTTTCTTCATTCTAATTTCCTTTTCTTCAGAAAACTTAGAAAAAAAGAGTTGAAGAAATTCTATAGAAAATCTTCAATAGAATAAGTTGCATAGAAAAATCGATTTCTATTGTCTTCTCCTACAGAATATTTTCTATCGAATGTGTCAATAGAAACGGTCAAAAACTTATAGAAAGTTCTATAGAAATCCTATACAATTTTCTAGCGAATTCGCAATGTTTTTCTATTAAATTTTTTCGTGCGGGGATCGTGAGAAAATTATTTTTTTCTCCTCACCAACTGAAGATTTCCAAGTTTCACCATAGACCTCCTCAATTTCCGAATAATTGATTATTAATAGATCACACGAGTTCCAACATAAATCAAGAACACAAAATTATAGAAGATGATTATTAGACGATCGATTCATGTGTTTTATATTTAGTTTCCAAATAATTCCCTATACATCATACAAACATCATAAATGTTCTATTTCTCTACTTTCTCACATCACAATAGTTGGAGTTTCATCTTTGGAACTTGTTCAGACGTGAACCAAGAGTTCATGCATAAAAATCATTCAATACGAGTATGTTTAGTACATTATCGATTCCCGTGCTTTATATTCAATACTAATCTATTCTATCTGAGGTATTCCATGCAAAATGAGTGATTGATGGTGATTTTTCTGTGATTGGGGGGCTAGGGAAGCTAACTCGTAATTTTTTCAGATTTTTTCGACAGCTCATTTCGGAGGTATAATAATTTTTTGGGCTTTTTTCCCCCATTAATTCTAATTCTACTTATCCGATTTTAATTCACCGGCCTCGCAAATGTTTCATTTCCCACCATCTAAGAGAATATTTTGGGCCAGATTTCATTTTTCGATCGCTCGGTGCTCATAATAACCAATTAAAAAAAAAAACGTTGGAATACTTAATCTTTCAAAATTACGTCACGTTTTATTTTTCTCATATTTTTCTCAGTAACTTTTATAATAGAAACAAGTATTTTGAGTCGTCATACAAGTTGGCTGCCGTCCTGGATATATTTTATTTTAATTTTGAATTTTCAAAATTACACGAATTTGGCCAAGACAACCCAAAAAAACTTCGATCATGTTTCGAAATAATGAGTAACATTGGGTATACATTCGAATTCACCCCATGCTGTTCATAATCAAAGTCAATCAACGTCATTTTAAGGTATTTTCACCAAATTTGCGGGATTTCGAAAAAAAAAAGAAACCGATCTAGGAAAAAACTCAACTTTTATGACGGCTCAAAATACTGGTTCTTATTATAAGAATTACTGAAAAAGAGATGAGAAAAATTAAATATGACGTAACTTCTAAAATTCAAGTTTTTCAACTTTAAAATAAAATTTGTTGAGTATTTAGGGAGTGAAAAAAAAATACCCAAAACATTCTTTTAAGCGGTAGAAA